TCTTTAACTCAAGGTGGTTAGACCTTAAATCAAAGAGCACCAAGCTCTGATACCAATTGTTAGACCCTAGAGGGGGGGTGATTAGGGTCTTATGCTAATCTAATCCGATTAAATGCCAATTAAAACTAATTAATAAGTTATCCTAGCAAGTATAAAATACAACAAGATACGTAAGCTAGGATAAGCAATATGAACAAATGAATATATCCTATCAATGAGATATTACAAATATATGAGCAAGGATATATGAACTAACACAAGGGTAAAATAAACAATCTACACAAGTGATAGGGTAATATGATGAGCAATACACAAAGGCGATATAAGATATGAAAACAAGAATAAGAACGCCAATGCAATCACAAACAAAACGATATGTTTACGAGGTTCGGTCCCCACGACCTACGTCCCCGCTCCTCACCTCGAGGAGATCTCCACTATCACAACCGGGTTTTCTACGTTCACCCGAACAACGTTTACACCTCACAATACAATCACTATGTAATCACACCTCACACACTAAGTGTTGGTCCTAGCCCGTGTCCTCCTCCTCAAGTGCTCGGTTACAACCTCTCCCTAGGCACGTCAACCGACGCCACTCCTCTTGGATTCGACCCCGTCTCTCACCACACACTTCTCTCGGTGTACAAGTGTATTACAAGTGAATCCTCACAATAAGCACAATATAAATAAATGATTGTTCTCTCTAACAAGGTGAGAACTCAATTAGGCATAACTCTTAGCCACAAACCCACAACCCTAAATTATACTATGAATGTAAATACAATAAGCTCAATAGGTTGTGTGTGAACAAAGAGATAATAAAATCAACTAAACTCAATATGAACACTAGCTTAATAAAAAGATAATCAAACAATATAAAATATGAAGCTAGATTGAGTTTAGAAAACTTCTCAATAGATCAAGAGTGGAAGGAGAAGAGTTGGATGCTCAAACACCAATAGGTGATCTCCTCAAGCTCTTGTGGAAGTGATTCACAAAACCAAAACACTCAAATGCTTAAAAGCTTATAAACACACTTAAACCAAACATAAACCCTTGATTAAAACTTTCTTAAACTTATTTTTTAAACTCTCTTAATCAGTTTGAAAAAACATCAGCAATGGGGTATATATACCCACTAGAAATCTCAGCAAAAACCCCCAAAACAAAATGACCAAAAACCCCAGCAAACAGCTCAGAGAAAGAGCCGTTAAAAGACAACGGCTATATTGTCGGTCGACCGAAAATCCCGTCGGTCGACCGATGAGAGCAAAACGGTGCGGTCGACCGAAAACTGACATATAAAAACTAATTTGTTGATTTTAAAACCCTGTTTAAAAATATCAAATAAATTCAGAAAAATGTAAAACTTTGGGGAATGATTGTAGACATGATAATACACATGCTACAAAAACTGGTTTTCTAAAAAGACTTCCCAAATGAGAAATACCATCATTTTACAAAATAGTCCAAAACATGAAAATGTAAACATATGAATCTTGACATTTTAGCTTAACCATGTTTTGAAACATTACAAAATGATTTTGTAGACTTAATAAAAGATGTATATGATTATTGTTAAGTCTATAAACCAAGAAAACAATATTTTCACAAATACAATAGAAAGTAAAACGTATGAGTATGTATATGAAAATATATTTGTTTCATATCTATGAAATTAAACCAAAACAACTTATCCACATAGAAAACAAGCATGTATACATAATTTTTGGAATTTATTTGTAAAAACTTTATTTGTGGATAAAACTAAAAACCAAGATGTATATGTATATAACTATATATATATACTAAGAAACTAATAAATGTGTGTGTGAATATAATATTGAGCTTAGAGTATATAACACACATAATATAAACCTATACTAGATTACCCAAGCCGATCTTGATCTTCAATAAGCTTGATTTGGTACACTTTGCGGATGAAGCTTGAACTTGGATCTTGAACTTTGAATAGCAAGACTTCACCGACATTCCACCAACCTCCATTTGATATGATCGTTATGGCGCAATCCATCCAACCTCCAACAACGTTGTTTGTCTACAATAAATAAGAAAACACAAATACTAGACAAACAACATTAGTGGTAAATTGTTTGTTAAATATCATCAAAACAAGAAGGCCAACAAATCCGCCATCTCATCACGTCGCCCCACTGTCTCCTCCCTTATGAAGTGTCTCCAACTGCCATGAGCCCGGCACCAATGCAAGAAAGAACCCCTACTAGAACTAGTACGACGGGTAACCTTTCTGCCCATACACCTCCTCCAATTGTTGCGGACTACTAGGGCTTCATACCAAAGGGACTTGGTTGTAACCCATAATTGCCTAGTACAATCTCCAACATAGGAAACAAAATAACGATTACCTCCCAATGATGCCTCTATGAAAGGCCCCCCAATGCCTGACTGAACACCTCCAATAAGACCCATCGATCGGTGGGTAGAAGTGCCCAACACTACCTTGGTCTTCTCGCTCATCCCAATGTGCTCAAATGACTTCAATCTACAGGTCATAGCACTCCTCGACAATCTGTGCACGGCATAAACAATAATATATCCCAGCACCAAACAATGTCACAGTCTAGCTAAAGAATTCGTCAGCACTCTATCAATCACCGTGCTCCCAATAAGATAATACAAGTTACTCCTCCTGACGCCCTTCATAACAATCATGGACCCCAATGTGACCTTCAAGCGAGAATCCGCCAAGGTCACCCTATAGCCTGCTGCCTCTAATGCCCCAAGTGAAATGATGTTCTTCCTCAGTTGAGAAACGAACCTCACATCAACCAACTCCCGAATCATCCCGTCACTCGTCCGAATCTAAACGGTACCAATACCACCAATAGGGCATCTGTGATCATTACCCATAAGAACAACATCCCCTCTTTCCAACTCCTAAAAACTAGAGAACCAATCCCTCCTAGGACATATGTGGTAAGTAGCACACGAATCCAACATCCACTCGGTGGAGTCGGCAACACCAACTGACGGAAGAGCTGGGCACGAATAGCGCGAAGAATCTGAATCTGAAACGTCACCACTAGCCTTGGTAACATTCACCTCTGAAGCTTGAATAGCTTTCCCCTTATTCTTCCCGGCTTGTAATTTTGGGCATTCGGCTTTTTAATGTCCATCCTCTCTACAAAAGGCACACTGATTCCTATCAACTGCAGGATGCCCCCCTCTAGACTGCGACCTCCTACCACGGTTTGGACTTCTAGATCTTGCAACCAATGCCCCCGCTACCGGCTCAATGGAAGTATCATTGTCTTTCTTACGAAGTTGATAATTCACAAGAGCCGCGGTGACCTCACTATATGAAAGAGATATCTTCCCATTAATAAGTGTGAGGACGAATGTCTCATATTCCTCGTCGGATAAGGAACTCAACAATAACAACGCCTTGTCCTTATCTTCAACAATGACATCTACATTCGTCAAATCTGTAAGTAGCTTCGTGTAGTGGTTCATGTGATCACTAATGGATGTCCCCTTCTTCAATTGGAAGCAATAAAGCCACGCTCTTCGTCAAATATTTGCCCACTAGGACCTTCCAAATCTTCTTTGTCGAAGTCTCATTCATCACATCATATTTTAGATCTTGGGTAAGGCAAGACCAAATCACACCACACGCCGTTCTATTCATTTTCTTCCAAACCTTCTCATCAATGTCGTCTGGTTTCCCGTCCAACTCCAATGTATTTTTTAAATTGCGCATTTAGCGCATCTAAGACTTCGCATCTCCAAAGTCCAAAATTATTTGTGTCATCGAACTTCTCCACATCTATCTTCATAGAATGGATATTCAAACTTTGGACGGTCTTCACACTAGAAGAACTCTCCCCACTTTTATCTTTCCCGACCATATATCTCAAAGCACCCAATAACAATTGCGGAACAAACAAGAAATAGATCCAAGATTGACCAAAAATGGAATTTTTACCACAAAGATTCCACCTTTATCACCAACTGAAGCTCTAGATGAACTTCCCAACTGATCTACACCTCCAAAAAACCCAAGCGTTGCCCGGAGCTCTGATACCACTTGTTGGGGAGAAATCCATATGCCGAGATCCAATACCAAATAGCCGAGAGAGATGAACAACACACCAAAGATAGCACAAACACAAGATACACCAGATTTTACGTGGTTCGGCGAGATGCCTACGTCCACGGGGTAAGGAATGGGGAGTTTTCACTATTAGAAATCAAGAGGAACAAACTAGGGTTACAAATCTCACAAAAAACCCTCAACAATCACACTTGATCTCTCCCAAATGCTCCAACTGTAGAAGCCCAAGAAATCTCCCACAATGGCTGCTAAAACCCTCTTGCCTTAACCCTAAAACCGTGACTTTGGGTATTTATAAAAAACCCAAACGAAACGGGTCTGTAAACAGATCCAGCCCAAAACCGCTGTGGCGGTCGACCGTGGGGGTCGACCGCCCTCAATCCCAGGACGGCTCCAAGGTCCAGAAACTTCTACGGTCGACCGCCGCGGTCACCACAAAACAGCAACTTCTGCCGGTCGACCGCCCACAGGCTCCGACTGCCCAATAAGCCTTTGTGCACGAAAACGCGTCGACCGTAGAATCCCGCGGATCGACCGTCAAGTCACTCCAAAGCACAATAAAACCTGTTCTGAGTCATCAACTGCCAATCCTTCCCCCCCCCCCCCCCCCCCCCTTGTTGTGTTACTTTTACTTTTTCACATCACAACAAGGTTTGCTTCAGGTCTCACGTTACAATTAAGTGGATGATGCTAAAAGGGCAATGCTAATCAGCTCAAGCTTTTTAATTATTCTAAATCAAGACTACAGAATAAATGGGTCATTAACAAAGCATGAGCGGACTCAAGTCCAACTCTTTATCAGATGTGCTAGCATATCTCATTGAAATTGTCAAAATTTCGGTCATCGCATCAACTAAAAGAAACACATTACTATTGCATTTTGTTTTAACAGACAGCAAAATATTAGAATAGTACTCATCTTTTATTCACTTAATCAAGAGATTTCCCAAGAGAAATGGGTCAAATTAGAATCAACCTTGCTCATTCAACTCACCCAACCTCCTCCATTATAAACAAAGAGTAGCATTAAAATACATTACAAACTCCTAAGGTCTGGATATTAACCACAAGCTCCGTACATGATCAGTATAAGCAAGAGACCTCTTTTCAGCCACACTCGCATCCCTCTTAGCTTCGCCAGGAGAATTGAAGTCCTGGAGATTGGAGCAAAGAAAGCTTAAGGATACCGGAGAGCAAATCAATCATAGGTGACACTGGCATGCTGCAGGCAATGGAGACGGATGCCCTCAGTTTTGCAAGGAAAGCCCACTTCATCGAGAAAGAATGCTTCATGCGGTATGAAGCAGTATGCAGTATGAAGCAGTTGTGATACGCAATTGAGATTGCACGCATTATTTGGGCTGCTCCATCTACTTTCACGTACAAAGCCTTGCAATCTTGCTGTTTTGGGGCGCAGCAACTCCTGATGCTTCATCTGGCTCTCTTTTTTCCATGGAGTTGATGTGCGGATGGGGAGGAATTGTAATGTGACAAGGAATGCAATTCATGGTTCACATTCATGAATCACAGTTTTCCCTCTGCCTCTGATTTGTTTTCATTAAAGAGAAGAACCTCTGACAAACCTGCAAGGGCCAACGAGCATGCAGATCTGAGTACGTTCAAGCTATCTAGTGCTATAATAACCCTAAAAAGTTATACCTGAATATAATTCTAAAGACCACCAAAACACAACAATTCAACTGGTTCAATTCAGCAAAAATATGTAAAAATCCACAGGATTTTGGTATTGTTTGGAGACTGTACAAACAGAAACTATTAGGAGTTATGTATTCATGGTTCAAGTTCAATTTCTTGAGCAGGTCAGTTAGTTGCTCCTTCAAGAAAGATACAAGGCCAAGAAAGATCTCATCAGTCATATACTGTTTTCAAACACATGAGGGATAGGGCATTTACCGAGAGCTTGAAGGTAAAGAACCATCAGAGGGTGACGACAAAAGGAGGAGCATCCCTCCTTGCCCCGGCTACAGAGCGGTACACATAAACTTTCTCAGCATCCACATCATCAACTCTCCCCTCCTGGATTCCATCGCTGTCATTCTCCTTGATAACCTCCACATTCAACCTAGGCATCTCCCTTGCTAGTAATCGACAGCCATTCATTGTCACATTGCAAGCTGACATCCAAAGAGACCTCATGGACTCATACCTCTCAATCCCTGAAAGCAATGCTGCATTTCCAAATGGACAATCTCTTATTTCCAGCTTTCTTAACTTCGGGCATCCCTTCAACACAAACTGCATTCCCTTGTCACTGCTTCCAGCAAAAGCAACTGACAAGGCCTCAAGGTTTTTAGCATATGTTCCAATGTACTCAAAGGCTAGATCTGTGAGAAGACCAGAAACAGAAAGTCTTCGAAGTTTAGTACATGTCTTGACAACTGCACCAAATGCTTCATCCATTGGCTGATTGGTGAGGTAATCTGGCTCGCGTGTGCTCATTATACAAAGGCGGAAGTGGGTAAAATTGGGACAGTTATGAGCTACAATTGCTACAGCAGCATTAGTCATCTGACGGCAGAAATATAATACATAGTGAAGTTTTGGACATCCCTCTGAAACAGCGACAAAACCAGATTCAGTAACACCATTGCCACCAGCATCCAAGAGGACATCTTGGTCAAATGGGTCAGCCGGAAATACCCGGAGTTCTTCAAGAAGATGACAGCTGGCCCCCACAGCTTCTAGTCCTTTGTCCTCTACGGTGTCTAGAACCTGTAAAAATAATAATGGAAGAAATTAGCATGGAGGCACAAATGATGGTGCAAGATAATGTGCAGGTTTCATCTAGAGTTAACTGGGTATATACCACCTATACTATTGCTAAAATTAACTTGCTACCCTTGTAGTTCTAATGTTGCAGATAGACCCACTGAGTGATTTTTATTTATTTATTTTATTTTATTATTTATATTTTGGACCCCTTTCAAGAGGTCTATCAGCAACAATCCACTCAGGGGGGCTATCTGCACCAATAAAACTCTTTTGCGATTGTGGTGCGCTTGTTTTGGGGGGTGGGTTGGGGGGGGGGGCGTCTAGCTGCAAAAATAGAACAAAATGGGTTGTAAGTCTAATATGGATATAGTACAGGAGGTCTATCTGTAATTAACTCTTTTATATATTAGCAATTTTTGAAGATCAATTAGAATTAAATAATCTAACTGATAGACATGCATGCTCGCTATCTAACCAGGGTTTATAAAGAGCAAGCCTTTGTTTAGGTGGAAGTTGAGGCAGCAAACCAACTGGCAAACAAGAATGTCGACTTTGATGCCAGATGCTGAAAATGAGGTGTTAATTATGAATTAACCATGTTGTCATAAGAGAAAAAGGCAATCATTCCATAGGTTGTACTTTCACTATGAAGTTAATACTATAAAAAGCACAGACCAGGGAAGAGCACACAACAGTATAATGCACTAAGTTGCTTAGTGGGCCACCAAACACAACACAACTTTTCTCAGGAATATGCTTTCCTCTTTTTAACAGTCTAATATGCATTACTCCACTAAAGAAACCGATCGTGATTGAGTAAAAGAATTTGGACAGTCATACACGCGACTGCGAGCAGACAGGATAAGTCAAAGAACATGGTCTGTGGCGGAAAGTGTGCAAGTGGTAGCATAGTCAACCAAAGCCTAACACGTTAAGAAGATGTACATACAAATACTTTCACATGATATTTTTGAAAAACCGTCAAAATGTGCTTCTCTCAATAACTCATTTTTCATTTGCTTATAATATATTCCAATCACACTAGTGAACTAACGCGTCATTGAAAATCTAATTTTGCCTAGTGTGACCATCAAAATTCACTAAAGAAATCTGAGCCACATTTCCTTTTTAAATATAAAAGGAAAATCATAAACAGCATGAGGGCAGCCGACAACCCCAAGCAAAAAGAACATTATAAACTAACAGGTACAAGCTATTTAGTGCTTCTCAAGACAGAAAGGTTCACAGCATTAACTTAAAAAGTCATATTTATCCTGACAAATATAAAGAAATGGGAAACATAAATGCAAAAGTAAGCTACAATCACAGAGAATCGACAACAATCCCTAAAATAAAGTCACGGGAAGCTTTTAAATCCTTACCCAAAGTCGTCGAAGAAGAGGACAGTGAGGAAGAAGCATCGCGAGTTCCGTGCTTTGCAGAGGTGCATAGCTCAAATTCAAAAATGACAGATTGGCACAGGCAGGATACAATACCGGAAGATAAAGCGAGGAAACCACCCAAAAACCTGAAAGAGTATTCAAGTTTTTGCAGTTACCAAATGCAGTTTCCAGCTGAGCATCTGCTGGAAGAGCTTGATCTTGCGAGAATGAACCAGTTCCCAGCTCTATAAGCTGTGGAGCTCTCACCAGCAATCTCCGAAGTTGTTCCAGTGTGACATTCCTATTCACTTTTAGGACTTTAAGCGATTTGCATCTTGCCACAAGCCTTTCCAATGCATCAAAATTAACTTCCGAATTCAGATTAGCAAAATTAAGCACTTCCAGGGATGTAAAACTTTCAGGAAAGCGATTTAACCAGCTACCACCAAGATCATCGATCACACTTTCCTGTATGTCTAGCTCAGTCAAGTTCCTGAAACCAAATTAAGATTCAGGATCTAAAAGACTGATGAAGTCAATAAACTATCAGCATAAAGAACATTTGAAACAGGCAAAGGTTTCAAGCTATTTCTTATAACAGGAGAACAATAACTTATATTTGGTCCAGTAATACCAACATTTCAATGTCTGATGTATGGTAATAAATTCAGCTACCAATTCAGTATTCAGTATGCGAGAACTCATAATCTGCTTGAACAAGTGGCTTTTTCTCACCTGATTAGTTGTGGCCTTAGGAGTTGGAAAAAAATAATTATAAGGTCTTTCAGAAGGGGAAAAAATACATGCTACAAGCACTTGTGGACAATAGTTATAAATAGATTTGTCCTTCACTAAAGATTTTATCATTCAGAAAATCACACATAATGTACCTTCTCAGTCCCTGTAAGCAGCTTTAATACAACATAGTTAAGAAAAATATAAGAACCATTTACAACATAGTTAAGAAAAATATAAGAACCATTACTAGAATGAGATAAAGAAAAAGAAAAGAGGGCTACGAACAAGTTTATTCAAGAGTCAATCTGCTAATTGAAGGCATATCAACTTCAAATTACCTTATATAAACTAGAAAACATTCCACATTGAGAGGACGGACTAGCAGATTCATATACCTAAGAAATGAAAGGAACTAGTTTGCATAAAAAGTTGTAAAAACTAACAAGCAAAGTCGGCCAAAGACTGGTTAACCACACAAACTATGTTCAAGGGCATGCAAGCACACCTAAACATGTACATTTCTTTAGCTGCCACAAAAACAACTATGCAGCTAAAATAAGCACAGTTATCTGATACAAATATCATCTTTAACTCCATATACCAGATGTTGAAAATGCTTGAGAAGAGAAACTAAAATATCTAAAGAACAAACTAAGCACATCATTCTGAAAAGGTTAACAAACGAAAATTCACACCTTTCAACATTATTGTCCCAAGGGCTTCTTTACTACAAGAGAGAATTCTATTATGACATCCAAATGAAATAAGAAAGCAAAGGAAAGAAAAGAAATGTACCTGCAACCACTCGCGATGGAGCCAAGACCCTTGGTGCTGAACCCATCACAGGTAACAAGTGACAGAGCTTTAAACCCTGGAAATGAACGAGCCAAGAAATCAAGGCTCTCATCAGAAACACTCATTCTCTTAAGCCGGAGCTCCTCAAGAAAGGGATAAGCTGAAGCAAAAGCCACAAGCCAGGGGTGGATATCAGCTCCCCAGTTAGGAGGAACGAGATTGAAATCTGAAAACCTAGGCTTCCCTTTAATAGTGAAACTCCGAATATTTGGAAACCTACGTGCAACAATCTCCGGTGATACTGAATAACAGTTGCCAATAAAGATATGGGTTCGGCTCCATCTTTCTGCAGTGTACCAATCCTTGCAGACCAAAGACACTGCACTGCGATCATTACGGGAATTGACAAAGGAGAGAATGCGTTCTAGAACTTCATCAGGGAAGAGAGAGAAACGGGCCTCTTGGGGCTTCTCCTCACTGTCCATTTCCTTCTTCCTCCTGGCTTCCATATAAGAATCAATGTTTCAGCCCACAACAACTGAGAAGCTAAAAGAACAACACAGGTAGTTTTCAAAGAGTAATTATCTCGAATATTGAGTCCATCAATGCCTTAAGACTGAAGTTTCTCCGATGTGAGTTCCCGAGTCCAATACATCTACAATGAGAAGAACAAGGATATGCATATAAATCTTCAGATTCTCTTACAAAGATTATTTCTTTAAGGAAAAAAATTCCCAACAACCATCCTTTGATACAGTTTCAGCAAATCTCCAACTATGAAAGCCAAAATCTCGCAAAAATTTGAACCTAAGCTATCCAGTCTACAAGATCGCAGCTTTAGCAAAAGACAAGCGCAGTAGCAAATTCAATGCAAAAGAAATCTAAATTTAGGCATCCAGTCAAAGCAAAACAAGATTAAACTCCTAGAAACCTAATCAAACAAAAGCACAGAGAAAAACTAAAATCTTGGGGGTTCATCTTCACCTATCCTTTGAAGAGGGATACACTTGAACTGCAAAGCTAGAATCTTTCTCTGTGAATACCAAAAAAATTAAACCCGGCAAGCAAAAAACCCCTAATCCTAAAAACTTCCAGCGTCTTCATTAATCTAACAAAATTAAGATTATCATGAATAACAATGGGAAAAAGAAAAAACCTTAATGAAGAGGAGGCTCCGATGAACTCCAAACAGATCAAAGCTTTGAGAGTGCTTTAGAAATGGAGCAGAACACTTTCATGAGAGCTATGTACTGAGCTCCCTTGAACGGAATCTAGGGTTTGTGTGGGATTTAGGGCGAGGATATCGAGGATGAGAGAGAGAGAGAGAGAGAGAGAGAGAGAGCGGGGCAACAAAATGAGATCTCTTCTTCTTTCTTCCCTCTCCTCCAAAACGGGTCCTCTTCTCCCAGATATCTATCTATTATTATACAGATAAACAAATTATCTTTTATTGTGTGTATTTATTACGTAGAATATACATGATGCGATGAAAGTGATGAACTTTACAATGAAAGGGTACTGATGGTTTTGATATTCAGAAATTTGCATATAGGTCCCCCTCCTCTAAAAGGTTTAATGTCACTTAAATTCATGAGGCATAAGGGGACTATCTGGGGTTCATTCTTCTAAAATAAGACCGACCTAATAGGGTTGAGTATGAATAAAACAGTTGAGAAATTTAAAAGGAATTGAGCCTGCTCTTAGATAGTGACTGTAGCGGCTGCAATAAAGGCCCTCCAACTCTTTAGACGATGGAATGCAAATGTGGTGATGATAGAGCCACAAGAGAGAAGTCTGTTTGAAGAAGAGGAGGTTCTTGCACGTTAGAATCAACATAAAACTATAATCTTCGGTCATCACTACAACTTCGGAGTTTTTATGTAATGATTAGAGAGACTAAATTTAAGATGACATCAACAAAACTCAGGTCCAAATCCTATCGGCCACGAATTTAAAGCGGAATTTCTAAAAATTAGTACAGCTGCGCGAGTTCAAGTTTCAGCCCATAGAGCCCATAGAAAATGGACGTTCAACCTTAAACATTTTTGGTATCTACAATGAAGTGAGTCACATGACTCCTTTGTCACAGACTCGACAAGGGGTCCACAGCAAGAAGAGGTGAGAAAATGGGTGTAGGTAGTAGGAGTCTGTTGAAAGCCTCTACTGCTTGCTTTTTTTAGTGTAGAGAAAATTGAATAGCCCTTTTAGAGAGTGAAATCATTGTCTGATGCCCTTGGATTTGACCAGAGCAGTGAATCTTTGGTACTCCAAAATCATTGAAATGTGCAGTTCTATGCCACTTTGATGATTTATAAATCTACCCCACTTTCATACGAAGCATGCGCTCTCCCCTTTAAGATGGATAAATGCAGACATCTCATGGCCTGAATTATAGTGCAATTACACTAGTAATTCCCAAATTTTACATGGGCGATTTTGAAATTGGCAACTATAATTATACCGGTAATCCTGGAAATTGTTGATAAATTAATAATCTTTCTTCAAGCTGAAGTTTTTTTTAGGATGTTAGTTGGGATTACAGTTATAACTATAGTTGTTGCTGAAGTTATAACAAAAACTACTGATATAGTCCTAGACCTAACTTCAATCCTGCTATGTCAATAGCTAAAATCCTAATCCTAGCATTAGTGCTAACTGACATAAGCTAAAATCCTAATTCTAGTCCTAGTGCTAAATAACTTCAAATCAACAAAAAAAAACATATTTATTTGCTATTATATTCTAGGACGACGTTTGTAATTACAATTATCAATCTTAGGATCACAAGTATAAATGCGTAGACTTCGGGATCGTCTGTATAATCACAGCACACTCAGAATGACAGAATATTTAATCCTATAAAAAATGGTGTGCTCGATGGATTTCTCTATTTTATAATTTCCCCTCACATAAGTTGTGTTTATAGTTTTTTGTGCACTGAATTACAGACAATACCCATCCTAGCTTCATACGTTCCACATACTATCTTCCCTTGTTCTCAACAACCTGCGTATATAACCAAATAAATTTAGCTTGTATGATATGTTATCTGTTCTTTTCGTGGGGGATTTTGGATTCCAATCTCTCCTTTTGCGAAGAAGTCCGGATCTGGGTTATTTATTACAGTTCCACCCCTACCATCACGGTTTCAAATTAATGTATATATGCTTAGAAGCCCAAACAATACCGTAGTTAGACACAAATACTATTAATTCTCAAAGAGAGTATTGGTGAACATATTTTAGAGAATCTTTTACATTATCTTGGCTACCGGCTAACTCGGCCGCATGTGCGGAGGACCACACCTGGTCACGTGGGCTGGTCACGTGCACGTCTCTTGATCCGCTGCCTCATCAGCCCAATCTCCCAAAGCAATGAATATTTGTGCTAATAAACTGGCCCTAGTTACGTACTAAATCAAATTTAATTAGCATACTTTATCCAGTGTATTATTGGTTTGAAAACTTTTCTAGTTAGATAGATGGGGTAGAGGTTCGTCAATGCAAAGCGTCCTTTGAGCTGCCGACACGTGTGGCACGAGTCATGGGCGGTGGCAGGCTAATTTGCGCCGAATTCGTTGACGAAACGGTGCGAAGGTTAAGAATTTCTCCACGGGCAATCAATTACGTAATTGTCTTTCATGTGTACAATTCAACCTTGTTGACGCACATTTTATCCGACTTAGGCGCGGGCTATGTCTAATATGCATAGGCAGTGCCGCAGTGGAGTAGTTAATTTTGATATTGACATGTGTTGAAATATTTGTTCATTTCTGGCCTTCATCTACTACATCAATTAGTTATTCTAGGAAAATGATTGAAGCGAAGTAATTCACACTTCTCATGAGTCATCGAGTAAGATTATATATTTTTTGAGAATATCGTCGAATAAGATAATATAGGACAGAGAAATCAGTACCTTAACGAATAATACAAATTTTATCAAGATTTTTAATATCTTATGTTGCCTATATTTTTAAGGATTTAGGGTGTGTTTTGCATCTCCAAAAAATATCTTTTATTTGATACAACAACTTCAGTCCAAAACCTAATTACTTCGTTTTAAGCAGAAATTGATCCAAAATAGAATCATTTTTTTTAAAGTTTAAATACAACTCTTTACCTAATCACTACGTGGACCAACTCTATCATCATTAAGAAAAAACAATCCAGGTCTCGTTGTATTTTATAGTCGAGCACAGTCTTAGGGTTTAATGATTGAAATTGGGATGAATTTTGTATGATGAAGGCCATCGCATTGGCTGAGTAGATATAAGTTGCACACCTCTTACCTTTGGGCAATCCTCGTTATTCTCTTTCATTGGGTATTAAAAGAAAAAATATAGTGAATCTTGGGTGTAAGTTTTTTTTTCCTTCCCTTCTTGGGTGTAAGTTTTGGACAACATGAAATCCAATATTCCAATTTAAGTTTCAGCTACCCACCACGCAAGAGGGTCTAGCTGAGTTGGCAAATTGCCTATGAATAGTACTTCAATGTCTAGGATTTGATTCTCTTGAAGAGCATCCGTAGGAATTTAATTTTCTGAAACACCTGAATTGAATTTATACCCGATGTCGTGCGTTGAGGGGTGCCCTGGGGATTTGATGTGCATGATCCGTTGGGGGCGCCCCTCAACCACGCCAAAGCATGTTGCCTACCCACCACAAATTAAAGGAACTAGCCAAAAATTCCAATTAAACTAGTTTTGGAGTGTAGCTCGCATAATTGCAAACTTTGATCCAGCACTAATTGTTTAAGCTTTGATTTGGCCGCTACTTTTAAGCCATTCCATGAGATGAAGGGGCAGGGGTCGTATTTTGCATAAAATTTTGCGATTTACTTGGAATTGCGAAGGTTGATTTTAAAAAAAGGGATCCTTTCTCAAAATCCATGCTGTGATTATTCTATTTTAAAAAAATAAAAACAACATTAGATTAGATTAATCACAAGGCAACCACGGTCTCTTGCTGGCAATGCACTGTATTCCTTTGCCTTCCGATAATTGACAACCAAAAATGATGTACTAAACAGTCTAAACCTTATTTATCAAGTACCATAATGGTGCAGGTATCAAAAACTAATAAAAATAAATGGTAAATTTCACAAAGCCCCCTAATTTTTGAAAGTATTACACATAATTACAGAATTTCCTAAACCAGTCCCGCTTGACTATCATGGCCCAAAGTTGTCATGATATTTGCATGTAAACATTTATGGACTATTTTCTCCATATCTATTAATTATTTCGAGTAAGAATATGTAAAAAGTAAAAGAAAATAGTTTAGGCTTTTTACTCTATACGTTAATATCATTTCTGAGAATTTTCAAGAGTTCACAAGGATCTATATGAAGGCTTTTTACTCTATACGTTAGGTTCAAGGTTCTTACTTAATTCTTAGTAATATTTAAGGTGAATATCAGAAAAACTTTCTTAACTTTGGACGACTATGCTATAACCTCTCATTACTATCAAAATGTCAGAAAACCCCACTATGTTGGGACTTATTAGAAAACCTCCTTTTAAGTAAGATTTCATTAGAAATCTCCTAACAATTAGTTGCGTGCGTGAGTAAAATTAGACGGGTGGATGTTTTTTATAGTGAAAATTACGGTTGACACCATTAAGGGGGTTTCATGATAAAATCTTAAGTTTAAAGGGGGTTTCTGATAACCCTTTGTTTCTGATAAAAGTTATGGGAGGTTTTTGATAATCATCCAAAGTTAATGGTGTTTTTTGCTTGTGAACTCCATCCCCCTCTTCCTCAGGGAACTCAAACAGTTATATCTAGCTCTTCTATTTGAATATTTTATAATATAATAATGTTTAGATGAGTTGGAAGCATTGATAAATTATGAGGAGGCACGTGTGGTGCACCTCAAGGAAAATTATACGATCCATGTTTCGTAGATCTGCAAGCAATTAGGGAGAGGGAGAGCTCATCCGATGGGGGCAGCTTGGACCTTTTTCATGTCACAATCATTTTAAAACGAAGTACTGTTAGGTTTCCAAAGTTGAATCCACATGAGTTTAGGTATATTTTAGGGATTAATGCTAATTGTGTCATCCACCACAGTAGGGTAGGTATGATAATGTAGTTGGGGGGGCTTTGGTATTTAAAAATGGTAATCAACATAAACTTTCTGAAAAAGATAAAGCTAGAAGCAAGAGTATCTAGATTGAGGAATCTACTCAAGGTTCTCACACATGAGGACAGTCAGTAGTCATAATATCTAATAAGTAGCTTTTGCTTTTGGGTTTCTACTATGTTAAGTCGTGTTGTAATTTGTTACTGGATTTGGATCCTCTCCACTACAAAAAATAGTGGAGAGACCACTGCTTTTAATATCAATCGTTGATTATTTAGTAGGCGGTTATGATACAATCTAAATCCAACACTTACCATACCCCCGTGTATTGCACTCATTCCTAATTTGCACTACAAGATAAAATCACAACCATTAACTAGATAATCAATGGCCATGATTATGTAGTGGTCCCTCCACTGTTTTTTTTTGTAGTGGAGAGGATCCGAATCCTTTGTTACTGGCTCGTTCAGTTGGTGAAGCTAGGTAACAAGTGAATCATGGGAAAACCTTAGGTTCAAACTTTCGATTGTTGCATTTTGTATGTAG